GTTCAGCAGTGGGGCCAGGAGGACACTAGGAGCCCTCCCACTGTTGCCCCACCCCCAGCACCAAGAAGACAGAGCATCCCTTGCCCCAGACTGAGAGTTCCTATCTCACTGATCCCCAGTGTGCCATCCACCAACATGTTCCCTGTTGCTCATATCCCTCCCAAAGCATCTCTTTCCAAAGCAAAGAGCCATTCCTGTCTTTATCCGCCTCACTGGAGCAGGAGATGCTTCAGACGAGCCCAAGAGGCATCGCCTCTACTTCTGCAGGGAGCACCCATTTGGAAGCACCTTGGCTTGAAACTTCCCAACATTTTCGGATGGGCCCCCTGTGGTGTGTGGCCCACTAGTACCTTTCCTCCAAACTCCACGGGTGGCGGCCGGTGCCACTGAATCAGGGATTCCTGCCTTATCGGCTAGATTCAAGGACGCCCACTGCAGCTCATAAAATGAAATATTAATCAAAAGCAAGACTTTGATGGGAAAAAAGACAGCTAGGGACCACTGGTTTTCCTGGAAGGTCTCCCAGAACGAGCAAGGCTTCTGGTGATGCCCGGCCCGCAGCAGTGGTGCTCGCCCTCCAGAGTCACAAGCAGACCGTGACATAGCTCGCTGTCACACATGCAGAATAAGGCATTTTCAATCCACTTCCTATGCAATTCGGCAACTGTTTGTGAGTGGATTTTGCCATTTCGCACAGTAAGATCCAGTTGCCAAGTGCACTGAAAGTACATTATTCAACGTGTGTGGAAATGCCCATGGCCGCATGCGTCAACAGGAAACCTGCACAGTCATCGATTCTTGTCTTTCTTTTCCTTTCTGTTTACTTATTTAGGAAATGTCTGTGCCGTGCCAAACTCTCCAGAGGAGCTGTTCAAGGCTTCTGCACGATTGCGCTTGACCCCAGGGTTTTGTCTGAGAAACGTCTGCCTTGCATTTTAAAGTTTTGTGCCGAGCCTTTCAGAACAGACTGATGAAAACAGAAAAGGTGACTGGCTCTCTTCTGCATTACAGAATATCGGGAAGAAAATGTCCTGCCAGCAATTTACTGCTAACCTGGATGGATTAAATGATGGGAAGGATTTTCCAAAGGATCTGTTAAAGGTGAGGCTGTGAAATAGGATGGGGAAATGCCTGGAGATTCACTAGCCTGGGGAGGTAAAGTTTAGGGGGGGGAAACCTATGTGGGGCTGTACAGGTATTTCCCACCCAAGCCAGTCCAGGAATGGGAGGGGATCCTGTACTTTTCCAGTACCTTAAACAACAAACCCAGAGGTAGGCTATACCCTCTCAGGTTCTCAGAACAATATGCCACCAGAACCTCTTTTCACTAGTCCCTGCCTTTCCTAAGGGAGAGATTCCAAACCCTTAGTTAGCATCTGGGATTTAACACAATAGCAACTCACTTCGGAGATGCACACTTTTACTCTCCAATAGTAGCGTATCTGGGGAGCGTTTAGGCCACAGGATTTAGGCTTGGAACTCAAGTATAACATCAAAGACAATTTTAACAGTCAGAGGAATTTTTATTTAGTGCAGAGCTTAGCAAAGACTACCAGAGTTAACCAAAATAACAAGCCTAAGGCTATTTGCCTTAACTACACAGTAAAAGATACATATTTACCAAGTTCAGGAACATCCAAACAGTCCACGGGATTTTGAAGGAAAAATCCATCTTTGCTCAACCATGTGGTCCAATTCACAAAGCAGTTCTTTGTCCCCCAAGGGACGGCATTTCTAGGTGCCATAAAACAAGCAGAGAGAACAGGAGCAGAGAGCAAGAGCTAAGAGAGAACTCATTCCCATAGGAATCAAACAATTATAGCCCAATTCCAGTCACAAATTAGATGTGGCTATTAGCCAATTGCGAGTGGGCATGGGTGTGCCCAATTGTTGGTTGTCATAGTTGCATGTGGGGATAGGCTAGAAGTTTGGAGGCCCCTCCTGCAGTCAGGTGACCCAGCTTCCAGCTTCTCCGTGATGTACGTGACTTTTTGCATGTGGGCCAGAAAGTGTAGCCATGAGGTCTGGCGTTTGGCATGGAAGTGTGAAAGAATGTGGGTTTATGGCATGGCTATTTAGGCCATGTGGCCTTCACCATTTGGCTTGCAACAGGAAACAAGACACAGCATGTTATCAGAAAGACATCACAGGAGAAGACATGAGACTTTTAGAAATCAATATTTCTATACAGGGGCGTAATACCATAGAGTCCAGTCTTCAAAGTGGGGGAGCGGATCTCTATAGCCTGGAGATCAGTTATAATCCCAAGAGATCTCTGGACCCCAGCCGGAGGTTGGAAGACCTACTTTGAAATCAGAGAAAGGAACAAAGGGGAAAGCCACATTAGCATGCAACATGATGATGATGATGATCAAGATATGCAGAGTGACATTAAATAACAAGTTAAAGCTATAGGATCAGCAGTTGTAAAGCAATAAATATGTCAAGGTTTCCCTTGCTCGAAAGCCAGTCGAATCTGACTCTAGGGGGTGGTGCTCATCTCAGTTTCCAAGCCGAAGAGTCAGCACTGTCCGAAGACGTTTCTGTGGTCATGTGGCCGGCATGACTAGACGCCAAGGCACACGGAATGCTGTTACCTTCCCACCAAAGCAATACCTATTTATCTACTTGCAATTTCAAACTAGCAGATAAATGTCTAAAGGTGTCTTTTCTAATTGCGGAAAGTGTCTTGGAATCTTCATTCTCTCCTGTCAGGTGTGGAGGGCACTTAACACTACCTCCCCCTCCAAAAAAATGCTGTCATGTCAGCAGACATCCTAATATCTCTTGCATACATTCAGTCTGCTGACATAACAGCGTTTTTTGGAGGGGGATGGGGGAGAGGATGAAGCCTGACAGGAGCGAATGAAGATTCCCAGACACTTCCCACAATTAGAAAAGACACCTTTAGGGTGCGGTCATTAGCCGGCGTGCTGAGAGTGGGTTAAACTGCTCTGGTTCTAACTGGATTATATTTGACTAGGATATAGGCCCGTTGTGGAAATAAATACAACGACCTCTAGAAAGAGGCTCTGGGCGGGTGCCCCAGCCTTGGACACTCAGTGTCAATTTGCTGTGGCAACCTCAGCAGGGTATAGTGACACTGAGTCCACCATTTTCTCCAGAGGAACTGATCTCTGCTACCTAAAGAATAGTTGTAACTTTGAGTGATCTCCAGCCCTCACCTGGAGATTGGCAATGATGGTTCCCCAGAAGGAAGTGATTGGTTTGGAGGGTGGAGTCTACGGCTTTGTACCTGTCCGAGGTCCCATGCCTCCTGAAACCTCACCCTCTCCAGGCTCTACCCCTCACATCTCCAGGAATTTCCCACCTGGAGTTGGCAGCCCTATCTCCTTCCCAGCCAATCATCAACCTACCTTTATTTCCCCCTCAGCTTTCCACCTCGCACACACCTGCAGCCTCTCCCATGCTCTGAAGCCCTGACTGCTATGTCACATTGGCTGTCATACGGGGGCCACATCAGTGATCTCCAGCCCTCACCTGGAGATTGGACACATTTTACCTCAGAACAGCAAACTGTTTAGAATGTTAGAGGCAAAAGCCAATCAAGTCACATATGCAAATGACCTCTGTGTTCCGAGGCAAAGGCCAATGAGGCTGCATATGCAAATGACCTCTGTGTTCTGACTGGCTATGGGGGGGAGGGGAACAGCAAACTGTTTAGAATGTTAGAGGCAAGACTCGAGCAATACAGCCAGTGGATAGGGACAGATTCTGAGTGACACACCAGGGCACCAACCAATTGCGGAGCGTGTGGAATGTTCTAGAGAAGTATCACCACCATCTGGAGATCTGAAGATCTGGATAATTGCGATCACACTTACCTCCTTTATCCCACCTCGCCGCGCAGATGTCGCTCCCTGGCGTCTACACTACTAACATGTGGGAGCGTGTGTTGGCAGGTTTCTAAATTTTTTCTCAGCTTGCGCATGCACATAGGCGCCCCTCCATAGAATGGGGGGGAAACTACCATGGCGCATGCGCAGAACCACCAGGGCGAATCAATCCAACCCCTCCAACAAAAGACTTCCCTTTAAACGTTTGACCCGAAAATGGCCTCCGTGAGATCCTGAACTCATCTAAACTCTAAAGTGACCGTTTAAATGTCGGTTTTCTAAGCACAGTAGCGGAGCTCCGCCTATGCACGCACCGGCAACGCTAAAAAAAATGGCGGGCGAAAAGCGGAAGCCTCAGATAGCTTTCGAGCTGAGAGGGGGTTTAAACAGGAAGTGGCTTGACACCAGAGGGGCGATCACACAGGGGGGAAATGCAGCTTAAAACGGGAGAGCTGAAAAAACACCACTTTGGGACCTGGTAAAAAAAAATCCCAAAAAAATGGAGCTGCGGAGGCTCAAGTGGTTAAGACGCTGAACTGCAGGCTGTGGAAGGTCAGTAGTTCAGCAGTTCGAGACCCGAGCTGCCGCATGACGGAGTGAGCTCCCATCTGTAGTTCCAGCTCTTGCCAACCTAGCAGTTCGAAAGCAAGAAATTGCAAGTAGATAAACAGGGACCACTTCGGTGGGAAGGGAACAGCGTTCCGTGTGCCTTGGTGTTTAGTCATGCTGGCCATATGACCACGGAAACGTCTTCGGACAGCGCTGGCTCTTCGGCTTTGAAACGGAGATGAGCACCGCAACCCTAGAGTCAGACTCGGCTGGCTTTTGAGCAAGGGAACGTTTACCTTTAACAAAATTTGTTGTTGTTCAGTCGCACAGTCGAGTCCGACTCTTCGCGACCCCATGGACTAGATTCCGCCAGGCCTTCCTGTCTTCCGCTGTCCTCTGAAGTTTGCTCAGTTTCATGTTCGTTGCATCTATGACACTGTCTAACCATCTCATCCTTTGCCGTCCCCGTCTTCTTTGACCTTCAGTCTTTCCCAGCATCAGGGTCTTCTCCAGTGAGTGCTCCCTTCTCATTGGGTGGCCAAAGTATTTGAGCTTCATTTTCATTATCTGGCCTTCCAGGGAACAGTCAGGGTTGATTTCTTTTAGGATTGACTGATTTGATCTTCTTGCACTCTTTTACTCTGAGCAAGAGGCTCTTTAGATCCTTTTCACTTTCAGCCATTAGAGTGGTATCATCTGCATATCTGAGGTTGTTGATCTTTTCCCCAGCAATCTTAATTCCCGCTTGTGATTCATCCAGGCCAGCATTTCGCATGATGTACTCTGCATATATATTAAATAAGCAAGGTGACAGTATACATCCTTGTCGTACTCCTTTTCCTATGCTGAACCAATCAGTTGTTCCGTATCCGGTTCTAACTGTCGCTTCTTGGCCCTTATACAGGTTTCTCAAGAGACATGTGAGGTGGTCTGGTACTCCCATCTCTTTAAGGACCTGCCATAGTTTGTTGTGATCCACACAGTCAAAGGCTTTAGCATAGTCAATGAAGCAGAAGTAGATATTTTTCTGGTACTCTCTTGCTTTCTCCATAATCCAGCGAATGTTGGCAATATGATCTCTCGTTCCTCTACCTCTTCGAAACCCAGCTTGTACTTCTGGCAGTTCTCTATCCATGTACTGTTGAAGCCTAGCTTGTAGGATCTTGAGCATGACCTTGCTAGCGTGTGATATGAGTGCAATTGTGCGATAGTTTGAACATTCCTTGGCATTGCCCTTCTTTGGGATTGGAATGTATGCTGACCTTTTCCAATCCTGTGGCCACTGTTGCGTTTTCCAAATTTGCTGGCAAATTGAGTGCAGCACTTTAACAGCATCATCTTTTAAGACTTTGAATAGCTCAGCTGGAATACCATCACCTCCACTAGCTTTGTTGTTAGCAATGCTTTCTAAGGCCCATTTCACTTCACATTCCAGGATGTCTGGCTCGAGGTCAGTGATTATACCGTCGTGGTTGTCAAGGATATCGAGGTCTTTCTTGTATAGTTCTTCTGTGTATTCTTGCCATCTTTTCCTAATCTCTTCTGCTTCTGTTAGGTCCCTACCGTTTTTGTCCTTTATCATGGCCATCTTTGCATGGAACAAAATACTCTGGGTTAAAGGGGTTTTGAGCTGGAAAGCAATGGCTTGGGACGGGAGATAGATGTTGACTGTGTGATCGTGCCTATAAAATCCATTGCTGAAGCCTGAGGACACCAGATCAAACACGAATCTGAACTGCACTCTTAGACATTTATCTGCTAGTGTGACATCTTTATTGCTTTACAACTGTTGACCTTAGAACCTTAGCTTGTTATTTAGTGTCACTTTGCATATCTTGATCATCATCATGTTGCATGTTAATTTGCTGTTCATTCTCTGGCAATAAGTTTGAACCTTTCCTGCCATTCTGACGCACTTGATAAAGTGTGCGTGCCCAGGAAAGCTCATGCCTCGAATAAACCTTTGTTGGTCTTGAAGGTGCCCCCGGACTCTAAATCTGTTGTACTGCTTCAGACCAACATGGCTGACCAACTGGATCTGTTTATTGCACACAGTGTTATATATTTTTCCAAGGCTTTTTTTTGTAGAAAAAGCCCAGCAGGAACTCATTAGCATAATAGGCCACACCCAACAGCAGAAACTCGTTAGCATATTAGGCCACACCCTGGCATCACATCTCATTAACCTATTAGGCCACACCCCCGTGTTACCAGAAGTGTGGTCATCCAGCCACACCCACCTTTTGCTTCTTATTCTGTTTACCTTGTTTGTGGTCAAAACCCAGGGCCTTTTTTGTAGCAGGAACTCCTTTGCATGTTAGGCCACACACCCCTAACATAGCCTATCCTAATGAGTTCCTGATGTTGGGTGTGGCCTCTTATGCTAATGAGTTCCTGCTAGGCGTGGCCAACTCAGGAGCCAGCCAGAACTCCGTTCCTGGGCGTTCCTGCCCAAAAATAGCCCTGTATTTTTCCATACCCACCTGAAGGCTGGTAACCCCACACACCTGGTGTAGTGTCCCTGGGAAAAGACACCTAAAAAAAGAGTTGGGGGGGGAATCTAAACCAACAAAGCACAAACCTCCTAAGGAAGTTTAGAAAACTTATTGAGGGCCAAAAGTTAAAAACATAATAAGTGTACAAAATAGTGCTTATTACAAAGACATATCAAAACCTAGTAGGGGCCCAAATAAAGCCTCATAAAATGTACAAGGTTACAAATACACACAAAAGAGAACAATGTGTGACCTGACGCGTTTCGGCTCACAAGAACCTTCTTCAGAGGTCAAATAGTGCAAAACATAACAAGCAACAGGGTCTCTGTAACACATGTAAGGCAGTTAAAAAGATAAAGGTAAAGGTTTCCTTTGCTCGAAAGCCAGTAGAATCCGATTCTAGGGCTGCGGTGCTCATCTCCGTTTCAAAGCCAAAGAGTCAGCGCTGTCCAAAGACATTTCCATGGTCATGTGGCCGGCATGACTAAACACCAAGGCGCACGGAACGTTAACAATAAGCAGTTAACCATAAATAAATAAATAAAATAGGACCAAAATTGGAATGTTCCAATATGGAATTGAATGACACACCAAAAAGTCTCTGTTTGGGGCCACAAATATATCTGGCCTTGTGTCAGAAGCTGTCGTATGAACTGAAAATTTTATGTACCTTCCAGTTTAGGTCCTAAGAGTGCAAATAGAATAGCCTTGTCAGGGACAATGTGCCGTCGATATGTAACCGAAAGCTTTTAAGTCTCAGCGTCTTGCCTGTCAAGCGGGAGGATTCGAGGCCAGGTTTCTCTTTGCTGCGCAGGGAGTTCCTGAGGAGAGAAGCTGCCCTCCTGGGCAATCTGAAGCGTTACCGAATCCGGAGAGAAAATGGGTTGCTTAGAAAGAGAATGTCACTTTCCTCCGCATCGCTCAGGGGCCCAGGGACTCAGCCGCTCCTTGTTACGTGCCCTGCTCCAATTAAGACAGCTTCCCAGCACTAGTTTGTGGTCTAGATGCCATGTAAAGGTAAAGCTAAAGGTTCCCTTGCTCGAAAGCCAGTCGAGTCCGACTCTAGGGTTGCGGTGCTCATCTCGGTTTCAAAGCCGAAGAGCCAGCGCTGTCCAAAGACGTTTCCGTGGTCATGTGGCCGGCATGACTAGACACCAAGGTGCACGGAACGCTGTTCCCTTCCCACCGAAGGGGTACCTATTTATCTACTTGCAATTTCTTGCTTTCGAACTGGTAGGTTGGCAGGAGCTGGAACTAGAGACGGGAGCTCACTCCGTCATGCGGCACCCGGGTCTTGAACTGCTGAACTACCGACCTTCCACAGCCTGCAGTTCAGCATGCCAACTTTTCTCAGCATGCCAACTAACAACGGAGGCAGATAAGGGCAGGATGGAAGAGCCCCCAGGTCAATCCAGAGATAGGCAGCGAGCCCATAAGGACGGTACAGAACCAGCCCAGCCCAGGAATAAGGATCAAACCCCACAAATCTAGCACAGTCGTCACACCACAAAGTGAAAGGCCAGGCCTGGAGGCCGGAGCTTTGTGTCTACAGGACAATGCTCTTTGGACCTGTCAGTCAGCTGTTTGCTGCAGCTCTTACGGGCTCCTTCCTAGTCAGGGTCAATGTTCCCTGTAAGCTATGGAGCTCTGTGAGCAAAAATTCTACTCTTTGAGCTACTGGCATTAACATTGTGAGCAGGAGATTTGGCTGCTGCATAAATTAGTTTGCTTTGGAGCCATCCTTCCTGCGCTAATACAAAAATGTGTGAGCCATAGGCTAAAAACCTGTGAGCTAGCTCACACCAACTCAGCTTAGAGGGAACACTGGTCAGGGTGTTCTTCCTCTGGTGGCCATCTTGAGGAGGGTGCGGTGCTGCAGAGAAGACTGAGCCAGCAGCTGTCCCTGAGAACAGGAAGCTCAGATAGAGAACGGCTCTGGAGCCACCTGCCCCAAGATCTGGTTTGTGTATAAAACTGGGATCAGGAGAGCCAGTTTGGTGTCGTGGTTAGGAGCGCGGACTCTAATCTGGGAGAATCGGGTTCGATTCCCCACGTCTCCACATGCAGCTGCTGGTGTGACCTTGGGTCAGTCACAAGTTCTCTCAGAGCTGTTCTCTCAAGAGCAGTCCTCGAGAGAGCTCGCTCAGCCTCACCTACCTCACAGGGTGTCTGTTGGGGGGGAGGGAAAGGAGATTGTAAGCCGCTCTGAGACCCCTTCGGGTAGTGAAGGGTGGGGTATAAATCCAATCTCTTCTCTTCTTACCATTTCAACCCTATGTGTTGTTCAGCTAGAATATTTATATTCAATAGTAAGGGTTCTGAAAGCAAGCCAGAAGGATGGGATTTGCCATTCCTAAACAGCAGTTCACCCTAATACAGCTCCCTGTTTTCTGCACATGGTGGGAGAGGTTCATCCCATAATCATTTTCTCCTACAACAATGGAGTTAAACACATATGATCTCATTTATACAGTAAAATGTGGAATGGTCACTTAGTCTACAGTGGTATTATCACAGATGCTCATCGGTTGGAGATCTTGCAGGTCTGGCTGTCAACTAGCTGCCATATTTCATGTGTATGTGTCCTTTCCTGACTGTGGCGCAACGGCGCATGCTTGCTCGCTTGCTTTGCTCGCTTGCTGTAAACAGCGGTAGGGAGGCGCTCCTGAGACCGTGCGAACCGGCGCTGCCAGACTGGGTTATCTGACTAACCTTGAGGAAGAGGGAGGGCTTGCATTCCACTGTTGGTGTGAATCTTTCTGTTCTCATGAGGCACGGAGACTCTCCCGTTCATTATGTAACCTCCCGCCGGGAGAATTCCCCCGCGTGTGCTTGGATTTCATTTGCTTAGCCACTTGCAGCATCACGCTATATGAAGGGATGCATCTGCCCCATTGTCATTCCTAACAATATCCCTGTAGATCATGGCAACAGACCTGTAGTCCAATAAAGCATAGCGCTTCCCTGGAAATGTGTGTGGAGATTTACTTGCTGTTGAACCTGACACTGGCTCACTGTGAAGAAGGATAGCTCACTTAAAGTGGCAGTTTTAGATTTCCTAAAAGTAGGGCTGGGAAAACCAAAATGTGTGGATAAGACTTCCACCTGCTCATGAGTGGCAGAAACGGCAAGCTGTACAGGGACAGCTAGATGAGAAATCTATTATTTCATTGGGTTTTTCCACATTCTCATTTTACTCACTGTTAAGTTCTTGTTTCTTCAGGGTTCCCCCCCCCCCTGTGTTCTGCATGTGTTTTGCTCCCTCTAGTCATTGATTTGATATCAAACAGCCTGTGGGACATAAGCTGGAAATAAAGCTGTTAAGTTTTATTAAACCAGTAAGTTAAACCAGTAACAGAGGGTTCCACTGAGAATACCTTAGGACTTAAGTAGTGGCTGACTGGATGTGTGTCACACAGAGGGATATTTTTTCTGAGAATCTGCTAAGAATCTGACATTGTATCTTTGTTTCAGAGCCTGTATAACTCCATTAAAAATGAGAAGCTTGAATGGGCTATGTAAGTATTCCCAAAAGTATTTTATATTATGATCAAAGGACCTGGCATACCTTATATTATTCATCAAAGGACCTTACATACCTTGTAGTCTTAATGGTGCCAGAGATCCACATTCTGAATGGTCTGAGGCACAGCTTACCTCGATCCAGGCCCTCTCTGTAGTTAAAGGCATTCTAGTGTTAGAAGCTTATCTTCAGTGCAGTTTCTGTTGTGTTAATCTAAGTAGGATGGACTCAAAGCCATTCAAAAGAGCAAGTTACTTTTAGGTAAAGGTAAAGGTTCCCTTGCTCGAAAGCCAGTCGAGTCCGACTCTAGGGTTGCGGTGCTCATCTCCGTTTCAAAGCCGAAGAGCCAGTGCTGTCTGAAGACGTTTCCGTGGTCATGTGGCCGGCATGACTAAACACCAAGGCACACGGAATGCTGTTACCTTCCCACCGAAGTGGTACCTATCTATCTACTTGCAATTTCTTGCTTTCGAACTGCTAGGTTGGCAGGAGCTGGAACTAGAGACGGGAGCTCACTCCGTCATGCGGCACACTCGTGTCTCGAACTGCTGAACTACTGACCTTCCACAGCCTGCGGTCAGCGTCTTAAGCACTTGAGCCGCAGCAGCTCAAAAGTTACTTTTGGTCAGAGATAAAAGAAAGAATTGAAAGAATCATTCAGGACAATCCAGTCCTGTGTGATTCCACACTAGTGCTAATCCACATCGATTCAGGACATTAGTTAATTTCAGCAGAAAATTGCACAGATGTTTCATATGCAAGAGTGACAATTTAGGGTGCTGTGGGATTCAAACTCTGTTTAGTTACCCACCCGCCCGCCCACCCCATACCGTGCTACCAGTCCATTGAGGCTGAGCCCGAACATTTGCATTTTTAAAATATTCTTTTCATTTACACACACGCGCGCCTCCCTGTTCTGGCCAGGTTTTTTTTTACACCTCTCTCAAATATTTCCACTATGTCTCCAAAAGCACCATCTCCAGAAAGCATTCAAGATGCTTCCTGTACGAAAAGCACCACTTTCCTGGATGGATCACAAATAGGAAGTGTGGCACGACTAGGGGGCAGCATGACATCACAAGCAACTTCCATGGGCGGTAGAGGCTCACCAGATCCCCTAAGTGTCTCTGCCCTGACTGGATGCCTCAGGCTGGCCTGATCTCATCAGATCTCAGAAGCTAAGCAGGGCCGACCCTAGCGAGTACTCGGATGGGAGGCCCCCAGGGGTCATTTCGTAGAAAAAGAGGTGCAGGAGCTCATTAGCACAACTCATTAGCATAACTTATTTGCATACGCCACACCCCCTGACATCACCGGAAGTGTGTCAGAAGGCAACACCCACCGCTCAGGCTCCACTGGACTGTTTTGGATTGCTAGCTATTGGGGGGGGGAGGCATGCAGATCTGTCCTCGCAGAGGAGGGAGAGCTTGTACCTGAATAAAACTTGGTCTTAAAGGTGCCACTGGACTGTTTTGGATTTACTTTGGGGGGCGGGACGTGCAGAGCTGTCCTCGCAGAGGAGGGAAAGCTTGTACCTGATTAAAACTTGGTCTTAAAGGTGCCACTGGACTGTTTTGGATTGCTAGC